AATCTCAAAAAGTCACAGGCTAACCTGCTCTAAACTACCAGAAACTGACTCTTAAATAATAATCAGATTTAACATCATTCATTGAAACTGTAAATTTGAGATTTCCGACACTCAAAACAAAAACAAAGTATTCCCATCACGCAAAAATAAAGTGACAACTTGGCTTTGGTCGAATTGTTCGGTAATAAATGGGATATGTTATCAAGTTTGGTCTCGGTTTTTCGATAGAGTTGATGGATATGAGGATTTTGAGGGTTTTTCTGTGTTACATCAATGTATTCTCACTTCAATGTATTGTCTTATTGTCTTAATCTCCTAGACAATCTCCTGGAATATGCTCATTATGCGTCGTTGTGGTTAGTGTGTGTTCCATCTAGATAAATACTGCTGAGTTTCAGGTATATCTTATCTGACGCTTTAGTTTTATCTCGTCGGCATGTGGAAGGCTGGTAAAAATGAAATTATTGGCTACAGAACCATAGCGCAGCAGTTTTTCTTTTTCTAAGAAATCAGAAGACCTGATACATGTAAAAATTCTGTGAGAATTTTCGATTTGTGATAAACTAGGGTACCATAGTGTTACTACAGTAAGTAAGGTAGAGTAACATATGACAACCACATATGATAAGGCAAGGTAGGGTGTGGTGAGAGAAGAGAAGGGTTTTGAAATATCGTTTAACGGTTTTGCAAAAAAAATTTCTTTACCTGTAGAGTGTACGAAAGTCCTTTGTTTCATAGAAAAAATAACTTCTGATACTTAGAGATTGTTTCTGGCTTGTCTTTGAGGAAAAGCATGATTTCTGATTTCCTATTTTCTCTTCTAAGAAATAGATTTTCAGAAGTATATTTTTCTTAAAATCTGTTCTGTAATTAATAAAATGGCGTTAAATTAGCTTTTTCATACAAAACGCGAATTGTGAATGATACCAGTTTGTAATTTTGTTCCAAGATTCAACAATTATTTTGCTGTTAATGCATACGAAATACGCATAATATTACGAAGCCTAACGATTGATTTATTACTAGAAAGACTTTGGAATGTGGTGTCTCGTTTCGACATGAGAAGTCTCGCCGAGAAATACGGATGGGCATTGCGTACGATTAACATAAGATTCATTCGATTTCGGATAAATAATTCATTGATCAACGTTGCCGTTGCTGCTGTTGACACTATAATACCCAGCGGAGTAAAAGCATCATTTCATTGCGTTTCCACTGCAATTCAAGTGATTTTCAAAGTGTCCGCCAGCTGAACTAGCGAAACAGATATAAGAGACGTCACACTCCAGAACAAAACGCTCAATCACTACAAAGTGCCACCACTGAGCAGAGTGGTATCTGTTGACAGTAGCACCATATGCTGGTTGGGAGTTTTTATTTTAATTGTGGCGCACACTATACAAACTAAAGTAACTTTAATGTGAAGCGAGGTAAACTGCAGAGTATCAGTGAAGCGAATTGAAGGGAATCGGCGAAGTGATGCTTTTTCCGCCTTTAGTGATACCATTTCCAGCAAAACTAATCACACAAGTCAAATGAGCCCTTATCTTACCCCAGTATATCAGTTTGACATAAAAATGTAAGGATCATCTGGAAATCCAAATCACGGCTTAATCCAAGCTTTACTTGACTCAGTGTGTGTTTATTACTTTAGTGCTTCATTCATACACATAAATACTGTTCTCTTGTTCTCCGTGTCTTTTTTTATTTTTATTTTTTTTCTCGTTTTTATTCATTTGTACCATCTGCGCAACATAAAATGGTTTTTACCCGGTTTGTTGTGGTGACTCACGTTTGATCCCATCTACTTGAGATAAGCACGGAAAAATGAAATTAATAAATGGGGAACAGAAATAATCTGAAGGTTCCAAATTCTAACCACCTATCGAAAGAGTCATTAGCCGATACTTTCATTAGTCTTCGTGCAGATTTGAGAAGTTATCGGTTCAGCAGCAAATCATGGATTAAATCCAAGCTTTAACTAACTCAGTATGAGCTGATTATTTAGTGCTTGATCCATCCAGAAAAATATTGTTGAACTTTGGGTATGTGTTGTTTTACACTCGGGTTTGATCACGTCTAGTTGTGAGAAGCCGGAAAAAATTATCGATTCAGTTTTGAAATGATTGGTGTTTGTCTTATCTACGTGTCAAAAGCCAGGGAAAAGCTTAAAGATCATCTCGCGAAGTCATATTATGGATTAGTTCGAAGTTCCAATTACCTCTTTGTTTGATTGGATTATTTCACAAAAATGACGATGTTGGGTGTGACTTAGACGATCGGTGTGATAGCGTAGGTTTAGCTTGAAAATTGTGGAAATATGGGTATTGTTTCGTTGGAAAACTCAAGATGTTTAGGAATATGAAATAATATTGATGAATGATGTAGATATTGTATGCTGCATGTTATTTGCACTTACAGTGTCTTCTTTACAGTGGGCTTTGTTGTATGATTTTCTGTCGCAGATTTTGATAAGTTTGCACGTTGGGGAGGAATTTACCAGTTTTTGCTTTGTGTTTCCGATATGAATCTTGAATTCTGGATAGAGTATTTTCTGAAATGTGAGATGTATTTGATTTGGTCGAGCGTCTGTAATCTGAAGTGTAAATGTTGCGAGAGTTGCTAGGATATCAGCAACATGAACTGGATCCCCAAATGCAACATCTGGTGTTGCAACAAACGGTTACAACGACAACTAGAGGAACAGCTGAAACGACATGGAGACGAAAACAACGTCGGTCAAGAGAAGCAGTGAAAGAAGCACGAAAAGGGTAAAAAATTTGACCTTGACGTTTGCTTTCTCTGCCTATAATTTTTAAACTGTTATAGAACTCGCCAAAATCCAAACCGGGCATATTTCACGTTAATGGTTGGTCACCTAGAAAGGGGTAGAGTTGGGATGCAGAAAAGCAAGAACTAGAAATAAAGTACGAAGGAAAAGATGATAAATGGTAACTAATTCCTGCATTATTCATTGCCATGTATTAGTGCTATGAGCGTCTTTCGTCTTAGTCAACAGGTCCTACCTCCATTGACAGTATATTATTTTTGGATGTTTTAGGACGATTTATAATACGAGTGATCGTTCTAATCGTAGTGATTATGATCATAAACATGGTAATAGTAAAGGTAATGGTAATGAATATGGTTATGACCCTGATGTTAACGACCAAGAGGAAAATATTTCTGATTTCCTATAGATGAGCAAATCTGTAGAACTTTATTTTGTTACATTACTCTTTTTCAGTGTTTACATTTGTGTGATATTTTTCTTTGCTGTTTTTGTTATTTTTGTTATTATTTTTTTTGGAAATAAACTAAATTGAAATTCATGTGGTCTAATATGCATTCAATAAAGCTTATAAGAATATGCATTCATGTTTTTTCCTAATTATTTTTAGAAAAAAACAATGAAAGAAAATAAAGTGTAATACAAAAAGCTGTTCATACAGTCTCTACACGTGTTATCATAATTCTTCCTAACTGTTCGCGTTATCAAGTACTGTTGCTGTCCGTGTTTTTACCTGACACACTAAGCACATAGAAAAGAGAATTTCCTCTTTATGGCTAAAGACACTTGGTTGTTTAATACTTGAAAACGGTTGTTTGCGTTTGTCAGAGTGAATCACCGATCAAAGTCCAGAGCGACATCTTTGTTTTTATTTGTTGACAGAAAGTTGTTGATCGATAAAATCCCTCCGATATAATAAGATAATATATGTCGAGTGCAAAATAATAGATAATAGATCAATATTAGTTTTAATTAGTTTAGTTTAAGAACTGCTTCTTAGTTACTGGAGACTCAATCAAAACTTATTTCTGAAAAGATCAGAAGAAGGTACCACGACCACACCGTGTGAGGGTGTTATTATTTAGGGGGTGTTATTTATCGCACTCGAGCGACAAGGGCGCTCGTAAAAATGCATTCGAGTGAACTGATTGAAAGTTCTGATTGAGTCTCTAGTAACTGATAAGCGGTTGTCAAACTAAACTAATTAAAACTAACACTGACCTATTATTTTATACTCGATATATATATTATCTACTCGATATATATTATCTTATTAGCATGCACTGCTTGTGAAAGGTGGCCCTCAGCAGGCTTACAGGAACGATGCGAAAAATAAAAAATTACATTTCTAGATCGAACTGACTACAAGGAATCTGATGCACACATTAATTTGAGTTTGGAGTTCGATTTGATGGCGAAAAGTGCATTTCAATATGACAGATTTTCATGATTTTCGCCATCTTAGAACAAGTACAGTAGAGCAATGCAGCATTTTGAATTTTTTTTAAGTAAGCGATTTTATTCCCTGTGGTCTCTAGTCTATGTTCTAAAGCGTTGATGTTTGTCGCTTTTGTTATTTCTGAGGTAATTAAGTATGAATTGCGGCTTGAAACCTATAAAATCACCAAATGTCGGACCTTCCCAGAACCCCATGCCGATGTTTTAAAACTTATTAAATGACGCATTCTTACTCAGAATTCAATGCTCTTTCAAATGAGATATGTCGCGGTTTTTGCAGCAAACTTCACGCGTGAGCCTAACCCCGTTTGGGAACGTTCCGCCTTCTCTGATATCAATAGAAGAATTTATTGTACACCTAAAAAATCAGCGTCGAAAGAGTTTTCAAAAAACAAAGACAAAACTAACTATTTGTTCAAGGTAACTCAAGTGCATACAGTCCGCCGGATGATGTTGTCAGTTGATAGCCACTGCCCAAGTATATTATTTTGTCTACCACTGATGCACCACCACCAATTTTATTGTCAATACACTTTTCATATAAAATGTGCCCGTCATCCTTTCTTAAACCATATAAACACCCGCGTGTAAAATTCGAATCCCCTTGCATTCGAATCGATAACGGTTGGGTACCGCCTTGAACCAGAACAAGCTGATCCCAAATAGTGAGTGGCGCAAACGCACTGCCATTCAAGCCCTGGGGATCGGTTGTTGTCCAGCGTATTTTTCCAGTTTTCAAGCTGATTGATGACCAGCTAGGTGCGCGCGTCTTTCTTCCATTAGGTAGTGTATATTGCTTCAAATCTGCGTTGTTGTTACCTACATAAAAGTAATCATCGTCAGCGGTCGATCCAAATTCCATTCCACCAACAGCGCTACCCGGTCCACCCACCGTTGTCCAGATTAAATACCCCGTTTCAGCATCAAATGCGTACGCTTGGCCAGATTTTTGACCAACGTATATCTGATCACGTTTTTCACCACCAAATTTGTACGGAATATGTCGTTTTAGAATTGGTGCTTGACCAAAATCATAGTCGGGACCTGGATTTTTGGGACAGTTAATAGCCGATGTTTTTGACGCTCCGAGAGCTAAACAACTGGCCGTAAATGCGTTAATTGGTCCTAGTGATTCGACCCATCTCACCTGACCACTGTTCATATCGATAGCCATTACTGATTGACCATAGTTGTCTCGTTCTTGACACGGATCAGCAACAAATAAGTGCTTAATCTTTTCTGTGCCAGAAATACATTTTTGGATTGATTTTGGTAACATGTAGTTATTTCCCGTTGCCACATATATTTGATTCCGCTTTTGATCGACGGGAAATGAACTGCCCCATACTGCAGAACCTGCGTAGCCACCTGGCTTATTCTTATTATCTGGCAACATTTTCGTTTTCCATATAATTTTCCCGCTTGTAACATTAACAGCCACTACTGAACCTTGAAATGTGCAACATTTATAGTTCTTATCATCAGCTAGATTTTCTTCTTTTGACGACACACCGATGAAAGCTCGATCACCAACAACCACTGCACTAGTTGTTATCACAGCGGCTAGATGTTCATCGACCGTTGTTGACCATAGTAATTTGCCGTTCGCTCGACTCACAGCAAATAACTTAGCTCCGTCTGGATTTACTGATGAGTCGGCGATGACGCCTGCTTGTGTGCCCAAAACTAACATATTACCGTGCACAACTGGACTTGTACGAGAATTGTAAATACTAGAACCAAGTAATTTGCCAATTGACACATTCCAATCTAGCTTTCCATTCAATGTGAGACTGTACAACTTACCGCTGTTATCAGGAAAATATATTCGATTCTCGTAGATAGTTGGAGTTGCTGTCACCGGTCCATCCGTTTTATAGAACCATTTTTCCTTAAATTGCACAGGTTTAGGACTATCTGTAGGTAGTTTAAACGGTAACAGTGATCGTTGATAGCGATCATTATTATCATTTAGGCTCCATCCATTCCAGTTTGCACCCTCACACGTCAATAATAACAGACACAATCTAAGAAAGTTTTCCAGCATTTGAGTTATTTTTTATCGCACTACGTTTTCCTTTTTTAACAATGCTTTTTATATTCGAGGACGACAGTATGTTGCAGTAAAATACGAAATAAAAACATGTGTAGGCACAAAGTATTATCACCTTTTTTGTGCTCGTAGTTATGTAAAGAGAACGGGATTATTCTGTGCAAATTTCTGTACTCAAAGTTCTAAATAAAACCTACGTCATGATTGGGTTACAGATGTGACAGAGTGCTTATAGGTATTTGTTTCTGGGATACAAAAGGCTTCTGATTTCTTTGCATTATCTAACTTCCAAAGTTTACTGGCAAAGGTCTGGGTACAACTGTCGATATTTCTTTAGACTGAATACTAAGAATTAAAAGCAGTCGAACAAAAACACCAATGTAGATCATATTCATTTCATCAGTATCATACTATATTTTGATAGCACACACTAGCAGCGACATATGACGAAACCAACTCGAGCAGCGTTAGATCGAATTTGATGAAACTCGATACTTAAAGGTTACACTAAGCACACATCCGTAATTCAATCATTTTGTAGGTTTATTCAGAACTACGAATACAGAAATTTGCACAGAACAATCGCTTTTTCTTTACATGACTACGAGCACAAAAAAGGTGATAATATTTTACGTCTACACATGTTTTTATTTCGTATTTTATTGCGTACATACTGTCGTCCTCGAATATACAAAGCATTGTTAAAAAAGGAAAACGCAGTGCGATAAAAAATAACTCAAATGCTGAAAAACTTTCTTAGATTGTGTCTGTTATTATTGACGTGTGAGGGTACAAGCTGGAATGGATGGAGCCTGAATGATAATAATGATCACTATCAACGATCACGGTTACCGTTTAAACTGCCTACAGATAGTTCTAGTAAAAATTGCCTATAGATGTTTTATTGTACTGATCAATTATTTAATTTGCTGATTCTATAATTATTTTACCTACTGACCATTTCATCCATTTTAGTGACTACTTAAATGATAACCTAAAACAATTCGCTCATATTTCCTTTTTTCACGTAGATATAGAATGTAGCGTTTAGTATTATTAGTCATTTGGGTTTTGAAAAGTGTATACGGGTAAAAATTAGTATAAAAGCGTGTCTTTTACACGAATAAGAACAAACAGACAACTTCTAATTTTTGTTTTTGTTAATTCGATTTAAATATATTTCTTTTTGAAATTTTAAGAAGTGAGGTGGTTAAGTCAGTTAAGAAAGATAAGAAAAATTATTTTAAGGATATTGTTTCTCTGTTCAAAGATTCAACACGTTTTAGGCAATCTGTCAATAAGTTTCGTAATGGAGACTACCCATTCCTCAATTTGCTATCGACAAAACTAGTCATACCTCTTCATCTTTAAAAGAGACTTGTGAAATGTTTAGCAACCATTTTAATTCTTGCTACTCGTCAGTTCAAAATACTCTCCCTATCTCTGGAACAGCACCCAGCTTAGTGAGTCCATTAATTTCTGATATACTCGTTGACCTAACCGAGGTGATGAAAGCTGTAGAGGCTATGAAGAACACCGCCAGCGTTGGAATTGATGGTTTCTCACTGAAGTTTATACAGTTATGCCTACCAGTTCTCGGAAGTCGATTAGTACATATTCTTAGGCTTTCAGTCTCAACAGGAATTTTTCCAGTTCAGTGGAAAGTAGCTAGTATAACACCAGTATATAAAAAAGGAGACTCATCGTTTATCGAAAATTATCGTCCAATTTCACTTCTATGCGTTGTAAGTAAGATCCTTGAGAAGATTATTCATAAACAGCTGTTATCTTTTCTTCTCGACAATAGGTTGTTAAGCGCTATCCAGTTTGAGTTTAGACCGTCTTCTTCAACGTTAGATGCTTTACTAAGAGTTACTCACTTTCTTTTTAGGAGCTTAAATAAGGCAAGTCCTGAAAAAGAGCATTGCATAGGGTTAAGCTTTGATCTGTCAAAAGCGTTCGGTTGTGTATCGACTGACCTTCTACTAAATAAGTTAAAAAAACTTGGTATCGATGGGAGTCTTCTTAACTGGTTTACATCTTATCTTACAGGGCGCACTCAGTTTGTCAAAATTGGCGAGAGCTTTCCCTCTCAGTCGCCGGTTCTCTCAGAGGTGCCAGAAGGGTCCATCCTCGGCCCTTTACTTTTTATTTTATTTCTAAACGACTTTCACACGCCAGTTCCGTCGTCTGTGATAGATAGTTTTTTTGCTGACGGCCTTTTTGTGGTTTTATCGTTCAAAAAATAGGAAAACATTTCTGTTATTCAAAATTTAGTTCAAGCTGAAATAGACAGGGTAACAGACTGGTGTGAGAAAAATCATATGTCACTCAACGTCGACAAATGTTCATACACTTACTTTTCACTTGACCCTAAAATAAAGCCCGATTTTAAGTTAACTCTATTAAACTCGAAGCTCTTGCTCGATACTGATCCTAAACTTTTAGGTATGCGTCTTTCTCCGATATGAAATGGGCAACACATATCCGCGAAGTAGCAACATCTTGTCGGAAAACGCCTGGTGTTATTAATCGAGTTTTCGGAGGAGCATCTCAGTCAATTCGCTTAGTTTTATATCTTACTTGCGTTTTACCCAAAATCGATTACTGTGGTGCTCTTTACGATTCTAAATTCACCACACATCTTGAACCATTAGAGGCGATTCAGCGTTTAGCAAGTCGTATTATTACCAGGAACTTCTAGATCTTTAGTAATCCAGTCTTTTGCAGTCCTCCAAAAGAAGGATGACTGGGCAGTTTCGAAAGGAGTGAAGGATATGTCGACCATATAAGAATGCGCTGCTCGGAGAGACCTAGAAGTCAATTTAGCAAGGAAATCCTGAGATTCGAGAAGAGTCAAATTATTGTAAATTTTGTAAAATGATATGAGTCGAAAGTACTGG